AGAACAAATACTGTCAAAGTATACAACCTTAACAATATCAACTTAGAGAAGTCGACTTGTGAAAGTTACTTAGGGGTACGTGCAAGCCCGGACCTATGGCAAAGAAAACAGTGCGTTAATGTTCGAAATAAGTCAAACAGAGTATTAGGTTTTATATCAAGAAGTGTAAGTATTAAGAGTGCGGAGGTCATTTTGCAACTATATCTTGCGCAAGTCAGACCGCACCTCGAATATGCTGTTCAGTTCCGGTGCCCTTATTATAAAACGGATATCAATTCACTGGAGTCGGTGCAGCGAAGAATGACGTAAATGATTCAGGGACTTAGAAACCTTCCATATCAAGATAGATTAAAGAAACTAATATGCATCTCTAGAAAGACGAAGAGTGCGGGGAGATATGATAGAAGTATTTAAGTGGGTGAAAGGAATCAATAAAGGAGATATAGATAAAGTTCTTATAATATCCGAGCAGGATAGGATTCGTAGCAACGGATTTAAGTTGGATAAGTTTAGGTTAAGGAGAGAGATAGGAAGGAACTGGTTCACAAATAGGGTGGTAGACGAGTGGAACAAGCTTAGCAACTTTGTAGTAAGTGCTGGAACGCTGGAAAGTTTTACAAGGAGGCTAGATATATTCATGGATGATAGAGAGTGGTAACTCTCGACAACAGCTGCCATGCACAGGTCAACCGGCCGATTGCAGACACCTTATTTTATTATCTTCTTATGTATCAGGACATACCACGAAGATTCTTAAAACATTTCAACCTTTCCCAATAAGGGGAAGGAAGAATTGGGACTCTTAAGAACATAAGAACATAAGAATGGAGGGAACTGCAGTGGACCTATTGGCCCATACTGGGCAGTCCCATTTACACCCAACCCCTATTGCTCACAAATCCATCCAACCTATATTTGAAGCTATCCAGCGTATTCGAGTTAATTATGATGTTTGGTCATTTATTCCATTCATCCACTACTTTATTTCTAAACCAATGTTACCTATTTCGCGACTAAATCTAAATTTCTCTAATCTAAAGCCATTGTTTCGAGTTCGCTCTTGGTTGGGTACTTTGAGTACCTTTGTTAATTCATCTTTGTTTAGCATTGACTTCCATTAATACACCTCTATCATGTCGCCCCTCACTCTACGTCTCTCGAGGGAGTGCAGATTAAGATGCTTTAACCTGTCTGTGTACTCGAGGTTCCTAATGCCCGAAATTAGTCTTGTCATTCTCCTTTGAATACTTTCTAGGGATTCTATATCCATTCTGTAATACAGTGACCAGAATTGAAGTTCGTAATCCAAGTGAGGTCTCACAAGCGCAAGATATAGTATAAGGATGACCTCTCTAGTCTTGTAACTAACACTCCTTTGTATGAACCCAAGTATTTTATTAGCCTTGTTTCGAGCAAATACACATTGTTTACTTGGTTTAAGATTCCTACTTATCACTACTCCTAAATCTTTCTCACATTCGGATTTCTCTATAACATCGTTGTCCATCTGATATCTGGTTTCTCTGTTTACATCTCCAAGGCTAAGTACTCTACATTTGTCCACATTGAATTTCATTTGCCATTTTTCAGACCATTCGAATTTTTTTTAGATCTTCCTGTAGTTTTGCAGAGTCTTCGTCAGATTTAATTACTAGCCCGATTTTAGTGCCATCAGCAAATTTACTTATGTTGCTGTCTACGCCGATGTCGTTTATGTATATAATAAATAGTAATAGTCCAAGTACTGAGCCTTGGGGTACTCCACTAGTGATGTTACTCTAATCGGAATGCCGTTAATGTTCACTCATTGTTTTCTGTCCTGTAACCACCCCTAATCCATTTTAAAATATCTCCTCCAATGCCATGAGCCTCCACTTTTCGTATTAGTCTATCGTGGGGGACTCTGTCGAAGGCTTTACTAAAGTCAAGATATACCACATCATAGTCGTGCCCCTCGTCCACTGATTCGAAAACAGCTTAAAAGAATGTTAATAGATTAGTTAGACATGAACGCCGGCTTGTGAAGCCATGTTGGGAATCATTGATCAACTTGTGCCTCTCCAGGTGATTTCGATTAGAGTTTGAAATTATTGCTTCCAGTAATTTGCCTGCAATTGATGTTAAGCTGATTGGACGGTAGTCGGAAGATAGTGATCTATCTCCCTTCTTGAAAACCGGTATTACATTCGCTATCCTCCAGGACTCTGGTACTACACCCGTTTTTAATGACATGTTAAACAATTTTGCTAAAGGCATACTAAGCTCTTCCTTACATTCCTTTAATACTCTGGGAAATATCTCATCGAGACCTGGTCACTTATTTGGCCTTAACTTGTCTATTTACTTACAACCGTCTTTCCTAGTCACTACTATCTCGCTTAATCCGTTTTCTTCACTATCTCTGTATATAGTCGGTGCCTCGGGTATCATGTTTAAATTTTCGTTGGTAAAAACTGTTGACAAATATTTATTCAGATCATTGCTCCGTCGTTATCAGTTAACTCTCCGGTATCTGTCTGTATTGGTCCAATGTTTTCTCCTGTTTTAGTTTGATACATTTGAAAGAATCCCTTGTGATTTGACTTCGCCTCCCTTGCTACCTTCAGTTCATTATTCCTCTTTGCTTTTCTTATCTCGGTCTTAACCCTACTGGCCAATACCTTATAATAATCTCGGAGATAAACTTCACCACGATTTATTCTTCTACCTATAGCCTTCTTTTGTCCAATAATATTCTTGAAATAATTGTTAATCTATTTAAGGTCATTGTTGTCTGATCTAAGTTTTCTGTATGGTATGTTCTGCCTTTGTGCATTAAGTAACTCGGTATTTAAATTATTGTGGAACTCGTTTGACAATTACTCTTCCAAACAATGAACCTATCTTCCTAGCTAGTTAAACATGGGTTACATGAATCACAATACATTTCTTGAGATATATCCTTACTGAAGAAAATTGGCCGAAAAGATGTATGTCTAAACAGAAATCCGGATATACACAAGACAGAAAGCCGGATACATTCACAACACAGATAACCGGATATATAAAACACGGATCGGGATACATACAAAACACAGTTAACTGGATATATACAACACAGAAAGCCGAATATATACACAACACAGATAAATCTATCATCGCATTGGATCTCGGACGCGTCAATTATCTATTTAAATGCTGGTTTTGAGGCCAGAATGCAAATTACCCCCTCCGGGCTACATTAATGGTGGGAGGAACTACAACACTGGGGGCAGGTATTACAACACTGGTGGCAGGTATTACAGCACTGGTGGCAGGTACTACAACACTGGTGGAAGGTACTACAGCACTGGTGGCAGGTATTACAGCACTGGTGGCAGGTACTACAGCACTGGTGGCGGTATTACAACACTGGTGGCAGGTATTACAACACTGGTGGCAGGTATTACAACACTGGTGGCAGGTATTACAACACTGGTGGCAGGTATTACAGCACTGGTAGCACGTACAAAAACACTGGTGGCAGGTACTACAACACTGGTGGCGGTATTACAACACTGGTGGGAGGTATTGCAACGCTGGTGGCAATTACAGCGTAACAACACTGGTGGCGGGTATTGCTGGTGGCAGGTGCTACAACACTGGTGGCGGGTATTACAACACTGGTGGCGATGTTACAACGCACGGTGGCGAACAACAACACTGGTGGCAGGTGCTACAACACTGGTGGTGGCGGTATTACAACACTGGTGGCAGGTATTACAGCACTGGTGGCAGGTATTACCAGCACTGGTGGCAGGTATTACAGCACTGGTGGCGGGTATTGCAACACTGGTGGCGGGTGTTACAACACTGGTGGCAGGTAATTACAACACTGGTGGCAGGTGCTACAACGCACTGGTGGCAGATGATTACAGCACTGGTGGCGGGTGCTACCACTGGTGGCAGGTACTACAACACTGGTGTGGTATTACAGCAGCACTGGTGGCGGTATTACACAACACTGGTGGCAGGTGTTACAACACTGGTGGCAGGTATTACAACACTGGTGGCAGGTATTACAACACTGGTGGCGGGTATTACAGCACTGGTGGCGAATATTACCAGCACTGGTAACACATTACAACAACACTGGTGGCAGGTACTACAACACTGGTGGCGGTGTTACAACGCTGGTGGCAGGTACTACAACACTGAGTGGCAGGTGCAACAACACTGGTGGCGGGTACTACAACACTTTGAGTGGCAAATTGCACAACACTGTGGCACGTATTACACCACTGGTACGGCAGGTATTACAGCTCTGGTGGCAGGTACAACAACACTGGTGGCAGTGTTGCAACACTGGTGGCAGGTATTACAGCACTGGTGGCACGTACAGCGCAACACTGGTGGCGGGTGCTATAACACTGGTGGCGGTGTTACAACACTGGTGGCGGGTATTACAACACTGGTGGCGGGTATTACAGCACTGGTGGCGGGTGCTACAACACTGGTGGCAGGTACTACAACACTGGTGGCAGGTACTACAACACTGGTGGCAGGTACTACAACACTGGTGGCAGGTACTACAACACTGGTGGCAGGTACTACAGCCCGGGTGACAGGTATTACAGCATGGTGGCAGGTACTACAACACTGGTGGCAGGTACTACAACACTGGTGGCAGGTACTACAGCCCGGGTGACAGGTATTACAGCATGGTGGCAGGTAATACAGCACTGGTGGCAGGTATTACAGCACTGGTGGCACGAGATAACGTAGAGATGATAATTTTCATGTCCAAAATGAACCAAATATATTTTCACAGCTTGGATAACATAATTCGATAAACCTAGACAGGTGGCATGGTAGATAGTCAACTGTTATACTTACGGAGCACGTAACCGATAGTTTTAACACGATACAATTTCACTGATGAAATAGTAATACTGACGGAATGCAACCACTTTTTAAAATGTTTCTGAAAATCATGAATGATAATTTTTAGTGTGATTTTCCACTACATCTGAAAGACTCACCAACTGAATAAAATAGACTTTTAACAGAGTCACACACAGATTTCTAGTCACTTGTTTCTAACAGCCAGAGAGAATGTCACCCATCCAACTCCCTCCAGAGTTGCACGGAGACTGACTGCCGTTCTCACTTACACAGTTACACGTTTCTTCATACTACCACAGGCGCCGGTGTAGCAGAACGTTTTGAGATTCCGTGGTGAGCAGAGCTGGTGAGTGGCTACTGATAGCAGCATTATATTCGACTTCCACGCCTTTGGATGTATAATAATTCAATTAATCAATTGAGTTGTTGGAAGTGAAAATAAATGAAGCCCGAAATATTATAAAATATAGACAATACAGGGAAATAAATAAATACCAGTCCAGTGCATAAGTGGTGTAACAGGATAGTCAACTCTGATAATAATACAATTAATTATTTTAGTTTTTAAAATTTAATTTACTGGTAAACATAAAAGTCTATCAGTTTTTTTGCGAAAGTTAAATAGAAACTTCGATGGTGTGCAGAATGAACCTGGTCGAGGTGTGGTTATATTAGTGAGAAATTCTCCTATTTCGCTTGTAGACAATGAAAAATCCTTGAATGTTCATTTGTATGATAAAGTGGTCTGGTGAGAGATCAATATGAAAAGGAAAAATATACTAATTGGTGCTGTATATAGGGCTCCTATTACAAGTCGTGAGAAAAATCTTTTATTGAATTACCTAACCAAGTTGTTTCCTTTCCTCTTGGATGTACTGTTAAATCTCTTTGTTTTGCTCTACTAAGATACTATTCCTGTTGTAAATATGTCTTCTCGTGGATGTTTGAACAATCCAAACGTCTGCTACATATGTGGGTGCTTTGTTGTATATAAGCAACTACAAGAAATAATCGTATTCGTGAAAAATGCATATTTTGTCTACTTTGGAGTGAAAATAGGTGATTTAGATAAACCATGGGCGCCACATAAAGTATGTCGCACTTGTGTTGAAGGCTTAAGACTGGAAATGCGGTAAGAAAAAAGTTATGCCATTTGGAGTCCCTCTGGTATGGCGGAAGCCTAAAAATCATGGTGATGTCTTATTTTTGCTCTGTGAAGATAAAGGGATATAATGCAAAAAATAAAAATAAACAAGGAATCATTCATCCCAAGATTCCATCTGCCATGAAACCAGTGCCGCATGGTCCTGAGGTTCCAGTCCCCATTCCGTCAGATGTGTTGCAGTCCGTGTCTTCAAAATCTGACCGTGATTCATCGACAGGTAACGGAAGTGATGTTTATCAACCTGAAGATATTATTGATGTACAGGAGGTGTTTACCCTGAGTGAACTTATCGATCTCGTTAGGGAATTAAATTTACCAAAAGAGTCTGCTGAACTTTTAGGATCTAGGTTGAAATCAAAGAAGTTATTGACCAAAGGGACATATTTTTCATGGTATAAGCAACGTGAACAAGAAATAGTTTTTTTTCAGAGGAAGGCTCCTTGCTTTATTGTAATAATGTGTCTGCTTTAATTAACTATTTTAGCATTACCTATACAGCTACTGAATGGAGGTTGTTCATTGATTTTTCAAAAACAAGTCTCAAAAGGGTTTTACTTCATAATGGAAATGTATTTTCATCAATTCCTGTGGCTCACTCTGTTCATCTTAAGGAAACGTATGAAAATTTGCAGAAACTTCTAGAGAAAGGTCATTATAAAGATCATGGTTGGTTGGTTTGTGGAGATTTCAAAGTCATTGCTTTGTTGGTTGGTCAACAGAGTGGACACATGAAAATGCCATGTTTTTTGTGCAAGTGGGACAACAGAGCAAGACGTGAACATTGGGACAAAAAACACTGGCCACCTAGACAGGCTCGTGTGCCAGGTTAAAAAAAATATTCTACATGAACCATTGATTGACCCTAAGTAAGTGCTGTTGCCTCCTCTGCATATTAAATTAGGGTTAATGAAACAATTTGTAAAAGCCCTAGATAAGGAAAGTGATTGTTTCAGGTACAGTCAGCCAAAGATGCACCGACCCCCACCCTGGGTCTCGTGCTCGCAATTTTACCTGGCAATACAATACTTGAAAGAAGGCTGGCTGTATGTAAAGGTGATTGTGATTGGTGGATTTATTTTCGGTTGTATCGCTGTCAGGATAAATATTAAGCAATCCAAAAGTAACACTTTTACAATATTAAATTATTCATCGTTATTTAAGATCATGACAAGTTTCCAAATATGCGTATATTTGCTTAAAAAATTAAGAAATTATATCAATGAATTGGCAACGCAGCTACAACCAGGGCTGCCACGAGATTCTCACATCAAATTTCAAGAATATACAGTATGTTCCACGTTTAATCTTGAGTGTTTCAGGAAGGAATTAATTGTCTTTACAATGTGAGTATTATATTATATAATTTGACGTATGTTAGAGAGCAGACTCTGTAAAGGTCCGTCCACACGATGGAGCAGTGCCCGGCGGGCACGCGCTAAATGCCCGTTATCGAGCAAAATTGGCGAGCAAACCAGCGGAGTGCCTGTGCCCGTCGTTGAGCGAAAACATGGTCCGCCTGCCTGGTGGTTTGCTGCCGGATATGGCAGGGTTACCCCCTTCACAAATACTAATATGTTTTAATATCATTTTCATTATTAATAATCGATAAAACCGGAAAACCGACATTCCTATAATATTGTCATTAATATTCAACATTACACAAGCCTGCAATACAAGACACGTGTTATTATTGGAACCTCACGTGACTGTCAAAAACATCTGATCACTACGCCACCGCTGACCTCGGGGGTCGGGTCCTCAAGTCGGTGAGGTATGAACAGAGATACTGACAGAACGTATGCTAGCACTTTGTATAAACTGAGTTAAGTACTGCAATTGTGATACGTATATGTTCCCCTCTCGGTCCAGATGTCCAGTGTATAACCAAATAAGTTTATGCAATGTACATTATTGGTGTGACAATAAACGGGAGATTGTTTATGTATTATGTAATGAGGACATTCGTGTGTGTTCTTCGTTCCTGCCGCTCTCCTCACTCTAGTCCCATAGCTTCCTGTCTATGCATATCATAATTCTAACATTATTCAATGAATTTTTATGTACTACAAATCTCACCTGCAAGTAATCTTCCTTGAGTACTTCATACATGGCTTGACAAGTTGCAGGTATTATGCGAGACAAACTTTGTTTTGATATCCTCGTTCTATAATGAAGTGACGTGTAGGTGCACCCAGTTGAAAGATATATGAGCGTTGCCTCTAGACGAGCCTCTGCAGATATACTCTCCCTCAAATTGGTATCCTGTTTTTTTTTATATATGGTTCCACTTTCGCTAGAAGTTTGTAAAAGGTGTTGGGGTCCATTCTCATGTAATTGATGAAGTCTTGCTCATGTCCATCTTGCAGTTCACGTAAAATCGTGGCATGACTTCCCAATACTTTTCTTCGACCTATCCACTCTTTGCACCACTTCCTTTTCTGCATTTGGTTCTTCTTTTTACACATAGCAGCAATTATTATGGTACACAACGCTGTGCTCTTTGCTTTAACTGTCCGGCGATTATTCCTGCGACACACCATGGTGATCGTACCGCACCCGCCACTGCCGACCACCTACTAGCTACCGGCGCCCGACTATGACTGCCGCCAACCACCCCTGTGTGTACAACAACACACAGGCTTTGCCCGGTAAACGGGCAAAGCCTGCCGGGCACTGCTCGATCGTGTGGACGGGACTTGATAGACTCAACTGACACAATAATGGCATGTGGTATCCCAGCACCAGCGCTGCACGGATGTGTGGAGAAGGGAAAACACTGAAGTGGTCATTTTGGTGTTCTATTAACTGTGTTTGATGGTATTATTATTAATAACTCAGTGAGAGAGAGAGAGAGAATCAAAGACAGAGTATACTTATATACTGTAGAGTTGATGAGGACTCAGAAAGGGGTTGAATAGCTGGGTTTTTTGGGGTGGGGGGGTTATTCTTCACTTTTTTTTATTTATTTTTTCATCATATTGCAACTGGCTTTATGTTCATTGCATAATTTAAATTTATGGTTTATAATATATTTCTTTCTTTCGAGGATTAAAATATAGACAGGTGTATTATTTACAGTATATTGTTTAATAACGGGTCCATCCACCCTCCTTATCAATTACAGCTTACAGCCTCCGCTGCATAGAAGATACGTTGTTTGTAACAAGCTCAGGTTTGTTTAAAAAAATCTCCCACTGTCTTGTCACGTGGTCGAACAGCTGGTTCGGCGTCCTCTCAAACTCGGGCTCCCAGAAATTGACTATACTTGTCCAGATATTTCCAATGGAATTCATGTCGTTCCCTTGCTCGGCAATTCCAAGAGCCTAAGGTGTTGCTGCCAGTCAAACCCTGACGCACTGCTCTGACCGTGTGGATGGGGCATCTATCACGAATAAAAGTAATTGTCCAGCAGGGAATAGGAAATTACGTTCCTGAATTGAAGGGAAAAACAGATTCCGCAGGATGTCTAAGTATTTATTTGCCGTAAACCTTTCCTTAATTTGGAAAACATCTCCCATACCGTGCAGGGATATGTAGCCCCACACGTTCAGCGTCACACGCCCACTTCTAGCAACCTCGTTTATGTGGGCCCTGTCGTATCTGCAGGAAGGGAAAATACGATACAAACATAAATATATTGGCCTAATTAAGCTATTACATCTTATACTAAGTTTGTAGTATAATAACTGAAAATAAATATTAATATTATGCGATAATCTTAAAGACTTATTTTAAAATGTATAATGAGCTGTTCGATGTTTTACGGCTATATCGACAAATACGGTCTAAATCTTATTTTAATCATTATGGACTTGCTAATATGTTAAGCTTACTTACTTCGTGCGATTTGGCCGCCACAAATGAAATTTACCGTGGTTAGTACTGGCAAAAGTCTTCTCATCCGTGAAGACTACTGGCAACCAAAACAAGGGGGTCCTCCCCCACATATTGCTGGGCAAACTGGAGGTGACCAGTGCGGTGTTGGTCAGTTAGCCGTTCCTTTATGACAGGGACTCTGTGTTGTATGCCCGCCTCTTCCAAACGTGACCTGACAGTCTGTGCTCTATCTAAGTGTAACGCCTCTCTG